CTTTAAAATGAGCCATCTCAGAAACAGGAATGGGGAATCTCACAGTACCAACAACAGAGAGGCAAAAGTGAAGCGTGTCTTTTGGACCCTGAGATCCCAATGTGGAGATGCAGCAGCAGAGAAAGTGGTACACAGTGAGTGAGGCTGGCTTGCAGGAAGCTGACTTACAGAATGGGGAGCCCTTGGACATGAAGCCACAGGGTTCAAAGAAGTTGTGGAACTTGCCGGAGTGGGACAGAGGAGAATGAGAGGAGCATGCCTGCAGTACAGCCGGGAAGAAGCACTCCTGGTCTAGAGAACTGCTATATCCTGAACTGTTTCCGATCCTGAACTGTGCCCTTTTCATTTCCCTAATAAACCCCATAATCAAGATTACTGTCTGAGTTCTGTGCAGTCAATGCAACAGACTGCTGAACCCAACAGAGAAACAGAGAGTGCCACGGGAGGTGTCGGAATCTTTATAAAGTAAGCTGGAGGGTGGGAGCATGTTTGACTTGTGCTGCATAGGACTTGGCCTTGGGCAGGTGATCCTCGTCCTTCCTCTTGGTGAAGCTGGAGAAGGTCAGACACCACCTCTAAGGCATTTTGCACCTAGCCAGTCAGATGATCCCAATCATAGCCAGCATCCGCATCAAAAGTCCTGGTGTCTCTTACCGTCTTCCCTGCCTACAACACTTGAAGACTCATTTTGTCTGCTTTTATATGTGATCAGATCATCCACTCACTCAAGGTACTGCCTCATTAACAATTTTACAAGTACAGTAATTTCCACATAGCAGGAGCTCACATGGCATCCCTGGGTTAACAAGTTTGTCTGCTAACCAAAAAGTATACCCAGAGGCACCTCAGAGAAAGCCCTGGTGATATACTCCCAAAGTATTGAGCCACTGAACAGCTGTGGAGTATAGAGCTATTCTGACACCTATGGGATCAGCAAGTCAGATTGGCCTCAACCGTGGGTGTTCTCTTTCAGGGACCCATGGAGGGTCTCCTATACCCATAAGTCTTGGGGGGGTCCCTCCAGATTGGGTCTTGAAAATGACTGGCTGAGCAAAGACACTCATAAAATAGCCCAGGATACATCAGACCACAACTACCTTCTTGAAAAAACAACAGCAACAAAAACCAAAAAAAAAAAAAACCCTCCTTTCCATCTTTCAGGCGCTTCTCAGCGTCAATGGAAGGCAGTACACTGAATCTGGTAAATTCTTCCAGTTCCCTGGGGTAAGGAGGCAAGTTATTCCTTGCAGAAATATCCGCTCTTGTATTCTACAACAAAATCTGAGGTTAGAATGACTACCCATGATGATTCCAGAAGAAAAGAGAAAATATAAGATGAGGAACTTTGCTGGTAACCCACTGTGAGACCTTGGGCACAAGATCACCTCCCAGCCTGCTTCCTCACAAAGCTGTCAAATACATCATCAACAGTTACCATTACTGTTGGCCCAGCACAACGGCGTCAGTTCTGGAATGCTTGAGTTCCTTCATTTTTGGGTGACCATGCAACCTGGGTCTGGTTACAAAGAATGTTTAAAAACTCAAAAGCCAGCAAATGCTAGCCCACAGGAATCTTTCTCACTGACATTTACTGAGAGGTAAAGAAAAGCAGCTCTCCTAGAATGACCTCATCATCAAAAGAATGTTTTAAGGGTCTAAGCACGCGCAGGAGCTCTGGTGTGGCTCTGTATGATAAGCACTGGACTGCTAACCACAAGGGCAGCAGTTCAAACCCACCAGTTATTCCTAGTTATTCCTTGGAAACCCTCTACAGGGTCACTACGAGTCAGAACTGACTACACAGCACTTAATAACAACAACCACACACAACACAGTAAGTAAAGTCATCAAGGTGAGTCCAAAAGTACTGCTACAAAATCATAGAAGCCTTTATCAAACAAAACAACAACACGGAAAGCTATTGTTTCTCCACATTTCCTCCATGTAGCTCTGTACACTTCTGAAGGCAGTGTTTCCATCTCCCCAACCCTTCCCCAAAGAATTCTGTACTGCTCAATCGACACCGTATCAAAACTGCAGTTTTGGTATCCTCAAGGGACTCATCGTGCTCCTTTAAAATGTTTTTGAGTTTGAGGAACAAAAAAATACCGTGATGAAAATAACTCCTCAGTACAATTTTCACAGCATTTTTCTCACCAATGCAGGTTTTTTCCACTGTCTTAAAACTTTCTCCTAAGACGCTGCTGTGATTGCCCTGTGTCCTTCAAGAAAAGCAATCAAGATTACTCCTTTGGAATCCTGAAAAACAGGTACCGTATCATCTGAGCTGACCTCTGTCTTTAATTTAACTAGCCCAGCATATCCCCTCAGAAGCCACTGTCTTGTTTGGACTTTTTTTTAAGGCACTGTAAGGAGACTAAGACAAGTGTATTACTAAGAGAACTTGTAATACCACGGATCTTCACAACCACACCAATAAATAACATCATGACTATTGTTGTTAAATACCGTGGAGTTGATTCTATCTCATAACTACCCGTATACGTTTTCCGAGGAGCAGCTGGTGAGTTTGAACTGCCCATCTGTGGTTCATAGTTCAGTACTGATCCTACAGTGCCATATCAGGAGTCCAACATCATGATAAACAGAGGGAAAAATTGAAGTTGTCAAAGATTTCATTTTGCTTGGATCTACAATCAACACTCAAGGAAGCAGCAGTCACGAAATCGAATAATGTACGCATTGGGGTAATCTACTGCTAAAGTTCTGTTTCAAATATTGAAGAAGATGTCAGTTTGAGGACTAAAGTGAAACTGACCTAAACCGTGGTATTTTCAACAGTCTCATATGCATGCAAGCAAAAGTTGGGCAATCAATAAAGAAGACTGCAGAAGAATCAATGCATTTGAATTGTGGTTTTGGAGAAGAGTATTAAAAGTACCATGGACTTCCAGAAGAACAAACAAATCTGTGTTGGAAGAAGTACAGCTAGAATGCTCATTAGAAGCCAGGAAGGCATAACTTCATCTCTTATTCTTTAGACATGTTATGAGCAGAGACCAGTCTCTGGAGAAGGCCATCATGCTTGGTAAAGTGGAGGGTCAGTGAAAAAAGAGGAAGACCCTCTAATAAGATGGATTCACACCTTGACAGCAACAATGGACTCAAACATAGCAACCGTGAGGATGGCACAGGACCAGGTAGTGTTTCGGTCTGTTGTGCATAGGGTCTCTATGAGTCAGAACTGACTCGACAACACCTAACAACATCCTGTGATCACAGACATGTTTAAACAAGTTTTGTTTGGAATAAGCCTGTGCATTCACCAACTGGAACTTTTCTAGTAACAATACTTCTCAACATACCTTCATATGTGAATGTGTTTACAATTGCATGATTAACTGCACCTAGCATTGGCAACTTAAATAAATTCACCTAGTTTGAAATCAAAATGGTCTACAGATAATAAATTAAGAAACTTATATAAAAGGAGTCCTGGTGTGGCGCTGTGGGTTAATGCACCAGACTGCAAAGCTGTTTGAACTGCAAGGTCGGCAGTTCAAGCTCACCAGCTGCTCCTCAGAAACCCTTTACAGGGTCGCTATGGGTCGGAATCGACTCGACAGCACTTAACAACAACAATATAGTAAAGAGGATTCCTGGTGTGGTACTGCAAGATAATACACTGGACCACGAGGTCAGTTTGAACTACAAGGTCAGTGGTTCAAACTCATCAGCCACTCCTTGGAAATCCTTTACAAGGTCACTGTGAGTCAGAACGGATTTGATAACGCTTAACAATCGGGCTGCGAACCTTAAGGTCAGCGGTTCAAAACTACCAGCCGCTCCGCGGGAGAAAGATGAGGCTTTCTACTCCCGTAAGGATTTATACCCTCGGAAACCCTGTACAGGGTCGCTATGGGTCGGAACCGACTCGACGGCACTTAACAACAACAACAATAACATACAGTAAAGAAAGAGAAAAACACGCAATACGCAGCAGTTCATCCTCAGTAATGTCTTAAAATGCATGGTTAAGAAAAAGATTTTTAGACTAATAAATTCAGAAGCTTCCTTAAGCAGTTAATAACCAAACGGAGAGATGTTTATACATTTGTATTAGGATTTTCTGAAGGCTTATTCGTTGAGAATTGATCAAAATAAAATTGCTAAAGATGTTATACATTGAGAAGGCTGAACTATTTTGTCATTTTAAAAAGATTTTTTAAAATAAAATAGTTAAATTGAAATGGGTTTCCTCACCTACACTGATTAAAGTTAACAAACATGTATTAGTATTTTAAAGTATTTTCTGAGTCAAATTTTTCTAGTTTTTCTAATGGGGAAAGCATTACTGAATTTTAAAACAAATGTACCACAATTATATCTCTAAACACATTCTAATGTATTCATGAAAACTAAAAGACATATCATACAAAACAACTGAATCTATAATACGTAACATAGCAAATAACAATCTTAGGTCACAAATTAAAATACAAGATTTACTTTAAAAAAACTTGACATAAAATTGAATAATGATTCTGCTAATTTCCAACAGTTCTACAGGACACAGAAGTTATTTCTTATATTTATATTCATAATGTTGCTGTTAGGTGCCGAGCCTATTCCAACACATAGCGAGCTTATGCATTCAAACATTCTAGCTTTTTCCTTGAACACGGTATCACATACATAACTCTAAAGGTTAGAAAAAGCTAAGTTTTTTTCAATTGAATAGCTTGAACATGTACATATGCCACATATTTCCCCAAGGGAAGTCTTTGTAAAAAAATCAAATATTTAACAATGAACTGTGTACATCTAATTAGGAAAAGTTCATTTCCCTTTACAAATTCTTTATCAAAAAGTTTCAAAATATATTATATTGTAAATCAAATTACAACATAGAAACCTAAAATTTACAATCCTACCCTTAAATCTAGTCTCCTTATAGATTGATTAGGAATTTTTTGAAGGCTATTTTTAAAATGATATAATTATAAAGTCCCTCTAGTTTAAAAATTAAAACAGCTTACCAATTCTCCATTGTTTTTTCCACTGATTTAACTAGCACGCTCACATTCACTTCATATGAAGAGGTAGACAAATAATCGTTGTGACAGGGAGAACACACTAAGTACAACAAATATTTTGCACACAGATAAGGAGAAAGTAGGTCAATATTCTGTGGCTAAGAAGAAGCTGCCTCAGCTATCATCCAGAACTGGATTATATGATTAACTAGGCTCGACTCCCTCTTATGGTCCCAGCCTACTGCTCTGACCAGTGCAACTGGTATGCACAATGCCCTGGACAGCCAGCAGAAGAATTACACAGATGTACTGCTGCCACTACTTCGGACATTTTGTCAGGAGGGACCAGTCGCTGGAGAAGGACATCATGTTTGGTAAGGTGGGGGGTCAGAGAAAACGAGAAAGATCCCCAGTGAGACGGATTGGCAAAGTGGCAGCATCAAGCGTGGCAACGATTGTGAGGTTGGCCCAGGATTGGGCAGTGTTTCGTTCTGTTGTGCACAGGATCTCTATAAGTCGGTACCGACTCGATGGCACCTAACAACAACTGCTGACACATTGTTTACAGTCCAGGGGAAAGAAAGTACTTAGGAGCACTATAACCAGTAATGTAGAAACTCACATAGGGTAAACGACGGATCTCAAAATGAGGAATACAGAATTCTTCTAAAAAATGATCTGTATGTGATCACACTGACAACAGCAATGGGAGAGGGAAGATTGGGAGGGCAGTAGATTCTTGTTAACGATGGTAAAATAACTTGGAAAAGGTTCTTGAGAAAGGTGGCACAACATGCAAACTGTAGTCAAAGTCACCGATACACATGCAGAAATTATTTGAAGTGGTGCGTGTTTTCTTGTGTATATTTTCACATACACAATTTTTTTTTTTAAATAATAAAATCATTCTCCATAATATACATCAAAAATGTATGTGTGCGTGTCCTAACAACAGGAAATCAAATTTATATTTAGAGGCAGAGCTATTGCCATGGCATAAGAGGTTGCAGAGCTAAGACTTGACCTTGACACTGACCTTGAAGATCAGTCAGATGTGGAAAAGTATGATACACACTGTTAGAATGGTAGCCCAAAGAGAGCTGATAATGCGGCCTGGTGAAAGCTAAGCTGGGTAAAAGGTTATTGTTGTTAAGTGCCATCAAGTCTATTCCGACCCATAACGACCCTGTATAGGGTTTCCGAGGAGCAGCTGGTGAGCTTGAACTGCCAACTTTATAGTTCAAACGGCTCTGCAGTCTGGAACATTAGCCCACAACATTGTTGTTGTTGTTGTTGTTGTTGTTGTTACTTGCCGTCAAGTCGGTTCTTACCCATAGCGACCCTGAACAAGGTTTCCGAGGCTGTAAATCTTTACAGGAGCAGAAAGTCTCATCTTTCTCCAGCAGAGCAGCTGGTAGTTTCGAACTGCTGACCTTGCGGTTTGCAGCCCAATTCGTAACCACTATGCTGTCCACAGTGTAGCCTGGTGAGAATGGTCGTAAGAGGAAGGAGGAGTTATCGAGAATCATCTATGCTGCAGTTATTTCTGACATCGGTATATCATGAGGGCAACAAGTGTGAATGTTAGTCACTGGTAGTCATCTGATGGACGGTAACTTAGGACAACCATTATATACAGATGGTGGAAAGCCACAAAAATATTTTAAACAGGAATGTTGTTGTTGTTGTTAAGTGCCATCGAGTCGATTCCGACCCATAGCGACCCTGTACAGGGTTTCCAAGGAGCAGGCGGCGAGCTTGAACCACCGACCTTGCAGCTCAAACGACATTGCAGTCTGAAGCATTAGCCCACAGGGCCACACCAACAGAAACAACAAAATTTATAAGGAAATGGAATCAAGGGAGGGTCTGAATTCGTTGGGAGAGTGAGTTAACAGTGGAAGTAACATGACGCTAGTAGAATTCTTTAGTCGGTACACTGCATAAAAGCTGATCAGCCAGTGGGGACTGAAAACAAGTCAAGTTCCTGTGGGATGGCATCTTCCAAAATGGGCACCTTTACCTAATGAAAACGAATTGGAGCAGGAGTCTAGTAACCAGCGTGATGCTAATCGAAATGAAACAACAGAAGAATAAGAAAAATCAGATTTCTCTCTCACAAAAGGTGGGGAGCTATTCTGACATAGGGTGCAAAAGAGATGCTGTTGTTGGTAAGCGTCGAGTCAGTTCGGACTCATAGCAATTGTGTATAGGGTTTCTGAGGAGCAGCTGGTGGGTTTGAACTGCTGACTTTTCAGTTAGCAGTCCACTGCTTTTTCTACAACGCCACAAAATACAAGGGTCAAAGACTAAATAAAAGG